TTTGCCTGCACCTGATGTCGTTGTAGATGGGATAGGAATCTGGCCCCGATAGTGGGTTTGTTCTCGTTTTTGCTTTCCTGTGACGAGGGTCGCGATATGATTGCATTTTGCATAATCGACGATCCGAAGTCTGGCCCCGCGAATGCCGCGCGAGAACACGTGTAAACGCGATCCGAGTCGCGCCCTTCCACGGCGGAACCATCATCCCGTACGAATCACTTCGGAACCATCATCCCGTACGAGCACGTTGAGGCGCCACTAACCGCCTGCCCTACACGTGCTCGTGCACGGTGACGATATCCCGACCCTCGCTATCCCACCGACGATGATACCATGACGCGATCTTGGGGCTCAGACTCATCCTATGACCCGAACTATTTCACCCTTATAATAAACGAGCTCATAAGGACACGATACCCCTGTCACATGGAGAATCGGCTGTGTCCGCGGGAATTCCACTGTGCCACCACTAGCGACCCTCGGTGCTCCGATTTCCCTTTCCTCGACCACACCTACTACTTCACCCACCCGCTACTCGTTGAGATCACCACCAGTTTCCCTCCTTTCCGCCTTCTTCTCTCGTATCATCAACTCAGTGTCGTTCCGTGGCCGGCCATAGCCCCCTATTGGCGCAATACGTTTTGCGTGAACTGCCGACGTAGCGGCGCACAGAGAACTCCGGAATTCCAAAGGCCCAACCCAGGTACGCGGCGGCCTGCGCCACGTGGCGGCCCCAGACGGCCTAACTTTTCGGGACCATCTCCACCACGGAGGAATTTTCCCGTAACCCGTCGCCCATAGTGTCCCGGCCCCTTCGGACCGTGAGACCCTTGCGCGCGCACCCCTCGTTCGCCTAATTGCATTCATACCCTTAAGACTCCCCCACTTCCCCCAAAAATCCTTGGCACACCCCTTTTCGCACTTCCAGGCCCATACTCCACTCCGATCAGGAAGTCGCGCCGGGCGTGAGGTTGGGCGTCACATACGTCTCTTGTTTTTTGAACCACCAGTACTCCCTAAAGTCGTGCCCGTTAACGCGCCACAATTTTAGGAAACATACAGGCCACTACAGGAGTGCCCAAAGTCATCCGACTAGATACGTTTGTACTCTATTTTTCCCCGCGGACGGGCCAAGTACCCGTGGTTTATTAAACTAATACTTGGCCCAGCTATCGGATGCGGCGCTTTCCCTTTAATGCACCGCGCGTTTAGGGGTTCAGGTACCGGACCACAATGGTTGGAAGCGCCAGCCAAAAGAAATTGAAACGGTACCCTGGCCCTTCGGCAAAAATTGGAGCGCAGGGGCATTCCAGGCTCGGCATCTATAGCTGGGCTCTATAGCTGGGCCAAGTACCGGTGGTTCCAGGCTCGGCATCTATAGCTGGGCCAAGTACCGGTGGTTTACCGGGCAACAATCATCCGTTGATTTGTGGAAATATTTTCTGC